TTTGTTTTACCCAAACGACTTTATATATTCAGAACTCTTCCCATAACTATTCCTATTACATTTTTTCATACAGCACAAAAACAATTCTCGCAATTCATTTGGGAATCAAAATGACCCAGATGCACCAACAATTTATTAATCTGACCTTATCATAGAGGAGGTGCTAACCTCCCACACTTACATACTTACTATCTAGCCACACTCCTCGACCAGATTTACTACTGGTTGCATCCAACCAGGGAAAAGACATGGACTAACATGGAACTTCCACTGTTCCATCCTTCCAGCCCACAGACCCTTCTGCTTTTCCACTCTACCACCACCAAACACTCTCCACACACACACCCCTGTATCAAAGCCTCCTTAGAAGCTTGGTCAGCCCTTTTCTCACACACATTCTCAACCTCCAAATCAATACGCACTCCCCTTATTGTTCTTCTCTCTTTAATTCCCAACATTAATTTAACTAACTGGGAAAAAGCAGGTATCCATTCCTTATCTGACCTATATACAGAACAAAATTTGACTCCCTACCATCTCCTTCAAACCAAATTCCCATAACCCTCAAGTGAAAAATGTAATTACATTAGAATTATGTATTGCCAGAATAATGAGAAAATCCCCTGTAATGTAACAGCACCATTACAACTATTCCTCTACCTTGACAAACCCAAAAACCAAGGCAAAGGAAATTCATTATTCTACTTCCTCTTGATAGATACATTACCCCAATCTAAAACATCATCTCAAAAAAAACTGGGAACTTCACTTTCCTCAACCTATCACATACCAAATGTAGTGCAAAGCCTTTAAAATGACTTACAAAGCTTCCCATTGTGCCATGCACTGGGAATTATACCTAAAATTACTGCACCAGTAGTACTTGACCACAGTTTGCCTATCTAAAATGTACTCTACCTGTTCGTCAGTGTTGGAGACAATGCGGTGAGACAGGTTCCCTCTTTCCCACAATATGGGCCTGTAAATCATTAACGTCGTTTTGGAACAGTATAATCAAAATGACCTCTGAAATATCAGGCAACACAGTTAAGCCTGACCCAACACTAGCCTTATTTCACATTGGTCTAGACAAATACCCCCTGGAGATACGCATAGTTATCATACACATTCTGTATGCAGCAAAGAACAATATTACCAAACTATGGAAATCAACAGTAATACCCCCACTCCCCAGAGTAATTCAAGATTTGAACACTCAATGCAAGATGGTAAAAATATTTTCACTAAATCACTTCCAAATTCCATAAATTCCGGGCTTCATGGTCAAGAAATCCTAGATGTAAAGTACAAGTTTGATAATTTCATCAACTTAAAGTTATGTTGACTGGCCTAGTTCATCTGTTATTCTTTACCCCTCTTGTCTCCTTCCCTTCACCCGCCAATCTCCCCTCCCCCACTTTCCCCTAGGCTCCCAGTGTACAGGACTTAATAATTCTACCCTTTTTGATTACAGGTATTACTATGTGCACAACTACAAAATGTTTATTGCATTATGTGATTGTACAACTTTGAACCTGTTTTCTGCTCTCTTGTTATAATTGTAAAATCTAATAAAAACAAGTTGAATATAAAAATGTCAGTGTAATAAAGAACCACTGGTATTTAGTTTATGTTTTGTTAAAATATTTTCAACTTCTTCTCATCACTTTTGACAAGAAGAAAATGTAGTCATTATTAACACAGCATACTTAATATTTGTTCTGCCAAAAGAATAACAACAACACATTGTACCGATTATATTTATATAACATCAGAAGTTCACTGATGTGAAAAATGTGGGTTTTTTTGTGAGAATTACATACAGTTATAGTTAAAGCATGCACTTTGTGTGCTCATTCAACTTTCTTTGGAACAAACTCTTGAAGGTCACACATCTATTTTATACATTCTATAAAATTCAGTTTGGTCTCAATTTATACACCTGTGCCACATTGACAAAAATATATTCATATTTCTAGTACAGAAAATGTTTCTATTAAATTGCTTTTAATATTGTTAACTATACAACAGTCCTTGGCTTTAAAAAGAAATGATGGAAGGAGACTTAAGTCAAACAATCTGTACACAGTTTTATTTTAAAGATTTTATATGAAGCTTCTGCAGCATATTTCTCCACTTTTTTATTGTCACGCATTTTTCCCCAACATGCAACATGTTAATAACCATTGGTGGAAGAATAAACATTCTTAAATGTTTTTTTTTTTATTTCTGAGGGATTATTTTAATAGCACTTCCTTAATAAACCTATTTGCTTGCATTTCTCATTTTTAAAAATGTACTAGATGCCAGGGTCATATCATATTATTTACCACTGTTACAAAACAGTTATCTGGATTGGACAAGCCAAGTTCACCTTGTGGTCGTTTCATATCCACTAATTTAAATTATATGGGTGTAGAAAAAGGAAAATGCATTGATATAGTAACACGCATTACAATGATTATATACAGTATATGACCATTTTAATTTCCCCTTTAACTTCTTCTTTCTTTAACCATTTCCTATGATACAATGCAGTTGTACTCAGTAATGTCTGTAAATTTTAAAACCACTCTCAATAGACCAGTAACATTTTGTATATTGCTAATAGGAGGTCACACTGAATTTCCTGCAGTGTCCAGTTCAGATAATGACAGTTCAGGTTAAAGCAAAAATCCAAAGAACAAAATAAAAAGAAAAAAATTAAAATTCCATTAAAATTAGAATTTAAAAACCTCCATCCTAACCCGCTAACAGCGTTGCTTAACCTACGACCACCCGAAGTCACGAAACTACAATTTAAGCTTCTATTACAGGTTACTACAGCTGCCAAACAGGTCATTGCCAAATCGTGGAAGTCTACGCCGCTTAACATTACCGCGGTCCGAAACAAAGTAACCCAGGCGATGATCCATGCTAAAGTAGAAGCCACAATCTTGCATACTATCCCCAAATTTAGGATGATTTGGGACCCATGGGTAGAACACTTTCTACCCTCTAACTTTGATGAAACTCTTCTCACCCCATAACCAACACTCCTAACTATTCTGGTACCCTCCCCTTTACTCTTACAGCTCCCCTTTCTTTCTTTTTTCTTTTCATTTGCAGAGTCGCATACCTTCCCCCTGTCTTCTCCCACCTTCACATTCCCCACCTAATATTGTTAACCAGTTCTTACCTGTTACCGTTCTGATGTTTACGGTTAATACTGCATTCCCAAGAAAATTCACTGTATAAGTATTGTATATTGTATACTTTATTTGTTTTATCTATGTTACCCCTCCCTACGAACAAAATAAAAAATTTTGAACAAGAAAATTAGAATTAAAAAAAAAAAAAAATTATTTTTGCTGCAATATCCACCTTCAAACCAGAGCTGCCCCCTTTACTTCTTTTTGCAACAAAATGTCCTCAGTCCGACATCTATCATCATTCAAGCCTAAGCAGTCTAGGCACTCAATCACCTGCTCCAGCCTCTGACTGGCCACTGAAAGGCTTACTGATAAGCTCATTCTGTCACTTTACTTTCTCCTCCAGAGACTGCAAGAGGCAAATAACAGGTCAAATCCAGCAACTTATACAGCAAACATTTTAAAACTCAATCTTAATTATTACATTAACAGAGCTGAGTTAATTTGTCTTTTATATCTGCCTAGAGTTCAGCTTTAAATAATTTAGCTCCTCATAGGAGTCCTTCTTATCAAGAGGAAAAGGTTTCACTGTGCACTACCAAACTGAACATGCTGATGCGGTGTTCATCCTTATGTTCACTTTTAGTACACAGTAAAAGCATTTATTTCAAGGGTAGAAACTCAGCTTAGGTTGCTTTATCATATTTTTACACAGCAATTTGATGCAGAGGCATAATTTAGAGGTTCAATGGGTTGAAAGAAGTGCTATTAAGTAGAAACAAGCAAAACAATGCACATACTGAAGCCAATTCATGGTAAGGAAATGTGTAATTCATTTTAAAAAATAAAGTTTAAATTATCATATAATTATATAATATTATTTAGGATTTATATTGCGCCAACAGTTTGTGCAGCACTTTATAAAATAAATAGGTACAGTTACAATACAATTTAAGACAAAAGTGTAAGTCCTGCTCATGACCTTACAATCTAAAAGTTAAATCCTAAAATTTAGAAACCCATGCCACAATAATATATATATATATATATATATATATATATATATATATATATATATACACACACACACTATTGCCAAAAGTATTGGGACACCTGCCTTTACATGTACATGAACTTTAATGACATCTCAGTCTTCTTCCGTAGGGTTCAGTATTGAGTTGGCCCACCCTTTGCAGCTATAGCAGCTTCAACTCTTCTGGGAAGGCTGTCCACAAGGTTTAAGAGTGTGTCTATGGAAATGTTTGACCATTCATCCACAAGCACATTTGTGAGGTCAGGCATTGATGTCGGGTGAGAAGGCCTGGCTCACAGTCTCCACTCTAATTCATCCCAAAGGTGTTCTATCGGGTTGAGGTCAGGACTCTGCAGGCCAGTCAAGTTCCTCCACCCCAAACCCACTCATCCATGTCTTTATGGATTTTGTTTGTGCACTGGTGCGCAGTCATGTTGGAACAGGAAGGGGCCATCCCCAAACTGTTCCCACAAAGCTGGAAACATGAAGTTGTCCAACCCCACACTATTATCCCCCCTCCATCAAACTTTACACTTGGCACAAAACGCTCAGGCAAGTACCGTTCTCCTGGCAACCACCAAACCCAGACACATCCATCAGATTGTCAGACAGAGAAGTGTGATTCATCACTCCAGAGAACATGTCTCCACTGCTCTAGAGTCCAGTGATGGCGTGCTTTACACCACTGCATCTGATGCTTTGCATTGCACTTGGTGAAGTAAGGCTTGGATGCAGCTGCTGGTCCATGGAAACCCATTCCATGAATCTCTCTAAACACTGTTGTTGTGCTAATCTGAAGGCCACATGAAGTTTGGTGGTCTTTAGCTATTGACTCTGCAGACAGTTGGCGACTTCTGTGCACTGTGCGCTTCAGCATCTGCTTACCCCACTCTGTCATTTTTCATGTTGCTGTTGTTCCCAGTTGCTTCCACTTTGTTATAATACCACTAACAGTTGACTGTGAAATATTTAGTAGCAAGGAAATTTCACGGATGGACTTATTGCACGGTTGGCAACCTATCATGCTACCATGCTTGAATTCACTGAGCTCCTGAGAGCGACCCATTCTTTCACAAATGTTTGCAGTAGCAGTCTGCATGCCTAGGCACTTGATTTTTGTACACCTGTGGCCATGGAAGTGATTGGAACACTTGAATACAATAATTTGGAGGGGTGTCCCAATACTTTTTCCAATATAGTATATATAAAATTTCAAAGTTGCTGTGACAAACACAAATTTAACACTGTATATACTATATTACAGTGCTAAAACAAAAGTGCATTCATATTCATCACTATGTACAAATAAAGTGCAAATAAAGTGCATATAAAGTCCCAAAAAGTGTCCAGTGCTTATTGTTGCCCTGCTTAGGCAACTTAATAATAACACTTAAATACATGAATGAATCAATAAATAATCACAAAAATTAAGCAAAAATGTGTCTTGTGTCCAATATGAAGTGCTCACATAGTGCATCTTCCCCTTTTCATTTTATGGAACAATTCACCCACTTGACTACACCTCCAGTCCAGAAAACTCACCAGATAACCATGACCCTCTTTTTTATTAGTAGGTCATTAAGCGCTTGTGCCCGTCAAGGGGAATCCAGGACCACGCCACTCTTTCTCCTTTACATTTATTCCTCCTATAGGCAGAAACATGTCACGGAAAAGTAAAAACTCATATAATGTAAAACCATTAATTTATTTAACCTGTTCCTCAACGCCCTGTAGCAGAACTACTGCTACAGGGCGAAAGGGCTGTGCAAAATCATGTACTGTATTTATACATAGTAAAAAAAGCACACAGCACACAGTTAACCCTTTGATCACCCTAGATGTTAACCCCTTCCTACCCAGTACCATTAGCTTTTTAGCACTGATCACTGTCTTAGTGTCACTGAGGATGTCAGTGGCAGTTAGTCAGTCCCCTCTCCCCAGTGTCAAAATGCCCGCCGCAGTCCTGTAGTCCTGCTATACAGTAAGTTGCTGATTGCTGCCATTACTAGTATAAAAAAAATTTAATTCCAGTATATATACAGCTATTTTTAGATGCTATAACTTTCACGAAAACCAATTAATTTACATGTATTGGGATTTTCTTTAGCAAAGACCTGTAGCAAAATACATTTTGGCCTGAATTTATGACAAAATTTTGGTTTATTTTTTTTATGACAGAAATTAGAAAATATTATTTTTTTTCCAAATTTTCTTTTTTTATTTATAGTGCAAAAAATAAAAACACAGAGGTGATCAAATACCACCAACAAAAAGCTCTATTTGTGGGAAAAAAATGACATAAACTTCATTTATGTGCAGTGTTGCATGACCGCGCAATTGTCAGTTAAAGTAGCGCAGCACTGTATCGCAAAAAATGGCCTGGTCAGGAAGGGGGGTAAATACTCTGGAGGGCAAGTGGTTAAAATACCATCAATAAAAACCAAAAGTGTACCCACCCACATTCATATGTGCATAACCTTGCACTAGATTTTTGCATATTAATATATATAAAGCATTGGCCCTGCTGTCTATAGTGTGAGTTCTGCTGTTTCTCCCCAGGTGTATACACTTCCAATCTGGAAACACCCCTCTTAGGCACCAGCAAAAGGCAACTACCACTGGAACAGATAGAGCTCACCAAGGGGTCAACAGAAAGCCACTGATAATGTAGTAGTTTAAATTAAGGTTTATTGTAGAACAGAGCCAGTCATCCAGTTAAAACAACATGACAGCGAAATATACAGAAAAAACTCACTAGCCCCCCGGTCACATCAAAGCCAGTTTTGAAATTGTGCGACTTACAATGAAGTCGCTTGATTTCAAAATCGGGTGACCTGTCAATTTCAGTTGTAATTTGCAAGACATCTAACACAGATGTCTATGCAAATCGCAACAAAAGTAGAGCATGCACTACTTTTGAAATCGGTGCAGCTCCGACCAAGTCAGAACCACACCGATATGACTGTTCTAATAGCGGACTATAGGGTGCAACTTGGGATATGATTTGCAAGTCACCTGGCATGCAAATCGTTTGCCAAATCACACCTGATGTGACCGGGGTGTAAGAGAGCCACTGACGACCCAGAATTGTGCAGTGGCATGACGTCAACACCGAGACTCTGTCTCCCTGGGGAGGATTTGTGCCTGAGAAACATACAGTGTCCTCTGTACATGTTACAGTTTATGGTCTGGTGCGTGTGCATTTGATTAAGGTGCTGGCACTTGGTGCTTTTGTTACACTACAAGGATCTACTCTATGGCAGAAGATCTTTTTTATCTGAATATATATGAACTTTGAGTTAAGAAAGACTTCACATTTGGCACATTGAACACTATTTATTTATCAATTTACAGTACAGGTATTTGTTTATGCACGTTTTTATTATCTTTATTGGCACTGCATCATTTCATGGGTTTGGGTATATCAAACTTTGTTTGCCAGCAGCCACACATGTGTTATCACAGCGCAGAATTATTACAATACATTTACAATGGAAAATGCATGTAATAACAAATCAGTGCATTTTTGAAATGTTTTACAAAGAGGACATCATAAGAGGTTATACACAAAATCACAACAGCACTGTTGAAAAAAACCCCAGCTGTACAGAAATGAAAGTCACTTGAAATGTCACATGACTTGTCCCATAAGCCCTTTCATGCTCTCCACAACCCAGACATATCGACCGGAAGTGAATCAGAAATTGCAGGACCACCAGTGGAGCTAGCACCCCTAAAATGGTGGAGTATAAAAAAAATTAAAATGCAGATGCACAAATAAACTCAAAATATCCCATCACCATAAATGAAAGCTTAATGTTCTTAAACAAGTATAAAAAAATGAAATGTTGGTATATCTGAATAATTAAGCATTCCACACAGTACAGAAATATAAAAACTTGGTATTAAAAGTCAGCAAAACAAGGAGATTCCGTTTCAATGACAGAAAAGTAAATACTGGAAAAAAAACATGTAATGTATTTTACCTGTTAAGGAAATCCAATAAATCACCTGATAATTATATTAACACTTTCAGTTCCTACGACAGAAAATATGTCCCTCAGTATAGTAAACCTTGTACTCCATAAATAATGGAGTAATATTGAGGAATGCAATTAAAGAACTGTGCCCAAAAACATGAATGATAGATCATCTGCATTGATTTTGAGCTTATGTACCAGTAATGAAATTGCATGTTTTTGCCAATTATCAGCACAGGGAAAGCAGTAATGAAAAAGACTGGAATCAGAACACAAGCTTTGATTTTTGGTGTGAAATCAACTCTGTCAAGAGTTGTAACTGTAAAAGCAGATTGCCATGCAGCAATAACGTGTTTGTACAGAAATGAGGTCAAGACCTCAGTTGAGTATTTAGACTAGAAAATATTAAAGTGTAGTGCTTCAGCTGTAGAAGGAAATAGCTGGTTAGAGGGAGAAGCTGTTTTTAAATCAATCTAGCCCAACTTACAAAAAATGAGAAAAGCCATTCAAGTAAGCTGTCAATCTTGGGATAAAGATAGCAAAGCAAATACAGGTTATTTGACTTAACACTAATCTAAGTTGGCTTCAGCTGATGACTGAACAATACTTTATTAAAACTTAAAGAAAGACAAGATATCACAAAATGATACATTTCTAAGCATGCTGAAATTCTTTTCTGGCAAAAGCATACAAAGGAGCATAAACAGATATACGTATTGCATCATATTTTAGTCAAGCTGAATAGGTTTTTATCATGTGTTGTCCTTTTGGCAAAATATAGTACCAAAGGTTTTTTGGTTTTATCCTCATGCCTAGTGCCTATGTATATTATATTTGTTCCCTATTTTCTTATGTGATATTGTGTTCTGTATCTCATTTTTGCCTTGGATAGCTGCTCCAACTATGTGTTCTTGATAAAAAAAAATTGCTTTTACAATATTTAAAGTTAAACTATGTTTTGTTGAAAAAATAAAAACAGTAAATGTCAACCATACAATTTACAAGAATTTTGTTAACCAATATTGTGTTGTCAATTTCACCTAATTTAAAAGCTCTGTTAAAGGGAATGTATTGCATTTTCATGTTTTATTTACTTTGGCGAGGGTTAAACAATAGTCTGGTAGCTATGAAGTATTGTATATGAAAACTTTACATTTTCATATCAAACCAGCAGGTGGAGTGCTTGACTCTTTTTCACAGTTTACAGGCTCGCCTTAGCTTCTTAGTTGAATATAAAGTGTGTTTTTTAGAATGCAATACAAAAGCTAAAATTCCCTACAGGCAGTAAGCAATTTATTGCCATCTGCAGCCTAGTTATTTAACTGTGTTTTTTTATACATTTCATACATAGATTTATGTATTTCTTATCTATTTTTCCCAGTAGTTTCACCCTACTCTGTTTTGGTAATAAAGCTTCAAGATTACATTCAGTCTGAATAGGAGGGTTTAGCTGCATGTCGAGTTACACACAGGGAAACGTGTATTGAGGACAGAACACCTCTCCTTCCTTCCTTGACAGCCTATTTAGATAGCTCAATGTGAAACCTCAGAGACAGAAAGGAAATAGCATCTAGCAATATAGACGAGTCACAACTGAAAAAGGCCAAATGGTCCATCTGGTCTGCCCTTTATTTATTCCTTTTTTTTTTGTTAAATTTTTTTTTTCTTATTAGCAAATCTATAGCGGTCTGAAAACCCAGAAATGTAAGTGTACTCTGTATTATTTATTTAGGTTACATTTTTTTTAAATCATTCACAGTAAAAAAAAAAAAGTAAAAAACATCAGCCTAAATTGCACAACCTAAAAAATTATTATTTCAGTTTGTCTTTAAGTGGGGTGATCTCAGTACACTTATGTGGTCAGTCTCCTAAAAGTAATAAGAGTGATTGCAGCCTAGGTATTTAAATGTTTTTGAAAATCAAGGGCAGATATATAATTAAATAGAATATATTTTCAAAACATTTATACTGAAGCTTCCCTTTAAGCAAACTCCAATGTTAGTAGTTAGCAGTATTTAATTATCTTCCAATGTCACCTCATTTCAGGAGAAATTAAGAGAATACTATGGCCTTAATGAGAGAAGCAGAATCAACATGTGTAAATGTGTTAACAAAAACTATTTTTATAGGATTTTCAATGTGTACATATATACACATTCCATTCAGTGTACATGCTGCTAGTTAATTAGCACA